TTATCTTCATGCATTTTTCGCCACTAGGTTTCTCATACATTTTTTAATTTTCACTAGTCTTTGTTGGTGATACAAGTAGCTTCTCACTCACATATTTCTTACTGAGTTTGACAATTTCTTCACATTCTTCTTTCATGTTACCACAGCCTCTTGAGTTCAAGTAGGTAATTCCATCATACAAGTATTCTTAATTTTTAAGTTATTTCATTGCTTCATTATTCATATTTCTTTCTTTTGTTTTGACCTTGAATAGCTTAAAATTACTAATTTTGAATGTTAAATTGTTGAAAATTATTACTCGGTGTGACTTAAATCTAGCTAATTAAATGACCATTGTATGGTCCAAACACACACACACACCGTTTTTTAAATATCGAGTCAAATATGTTATAATTAGTAAAAGTGTCACTTTGCTTTAGGATTTATGCATTGAAATAAAATGAACCGTTGCACATTGCACAATCAATTATTTATTATTGTCAAGCAACCAACTAAGCCCTTTACTAAAGAGAAAAATCATTATGAGCTACACCATATTTTCTTCACGTCATCGCCAGCCCATATAGTTTAGAACCATATTGTTAGTTCCTTCATTAGATCTATTATTTTACTAATGGGACAACACATTATAAACTACACAATATTAGCTACACCATATTTTCTTCATTTCACACCAACCCGTATAGTTTAAAAACCACATTTTAGTTCCTTTATATATCTATATTCTTCCGAAATTCGCATAGCAAAAAGCAAGCCTAATTTTTCAATCAATATACCAGTTGTCGGTGGGAGAAAATCAGAACTGGATTACTTTTTACATCTACTTTCTAAATGATCATTCTAAAAATAATAGAACTTATGGCAGAACAATGAAAGCAATAAATAGCAACATTCTCTGGTTATGAATTGCTTTAAAAAATGGCATTATAACATAGGATCTCTATCTGATTCATGCGCTTATTATTCTTTCTCACTTACAAGAATTGAATTGAAATTCTAAAGGTAAAACATCAAAATCTCACTCTTTTATGTACAGCACAAAGCCAAGACCTCTGCCCAGCGCTCCCCGCCGCCCCCTTGATCTCAAATTTAAAGCTGAACACTAGAACATCAAAATCACGCTATAGTATAGTAAACTTTATATTAAATGGATACCAAGTTCCGTCAATTACATAATTATTAATTCTCACAAAACAAATCACGCTAGATAAATCTTTTAAAATGAAGTTTTTCATCACAAACATATCTTTGAAGTTCTCAAAAACCATTTTTTAATCTTATATATAATCAGAAACATCATGCTATAGTAGGATTTATGTAGCAAAATCTTTCTACAGTGTAAGCCTCCATGACTGCCCAATCTCTTTCAAAAACTACATCCACCTCTGCTATCACATAAACCCTCAGTATGGCAAGGTATGTTCAACTTTATATTTGATGAATACTAAGTTCCATCTACTACGTAATTCTTAATTGTCACTAAACAAATCATGCTAGACAAATCCTTAAAAATGAGGTTTTTCATCTCCAACTTATCTTCAGAGTTTTCTAAATCCATTTCTAACCTTATATAATCAGAAACCACATGCTATAGTAGGATTTCTGTAACAAAATCTTTCTACAAAAAGCCTCCATGACTACCTAACCTCTTTCAAAAACTGCTACTACCTCTGCCATCACACAAACCTTGAGAATGCTCGCAAGTCAAAGTAAGAAATTAACTTTAAGCTACTCTATGTTTTCCCTAGCCTAACCAAAAAAAAGATCAACATAAAAAGCATGAAAATATCTCAAATCAATGAAGCACAAACACGGACCATGACACGGCATATATAAAAATAAATAGGACACAATGTGTCATAGATATTATTATATTTAATTAATTATTAATATTAAATATATATTTTTCCATTATTCTTTAATAAAAATATCAAAACACAAATTATGCCACAATAAAATTAACTTCATAAATTTAATTTATATTATAAAACCTCATGATCATGAAAATTAATTTTTAAAATTAGATATAACATCTTTCAAAAGAATTCATCCAACCTATAATACTTATCTAATAAATTGAAAAAACCTATGATTACAAAAAAGGAATTACTAATGTGCAGTTTCAACAAATATTGAATGCACATTTAATGCCCAACTTAGACAAATGTTAGAGGAAACTTAAAAATTATGAGAGATGGGTCAGTTCGACTACAGCGTATAGTTAAGGCTATACGTTAATTTATAATTTTCTAATTCCCGTGTTGAATTTTCTCCAAATCATGTTAAGCTCGCATCTAATGTGATGTTGTTGTGTGTCCCGGACGTCCTCGTACCTGAAATAAATTCAGACATATATTTTGTAGCGTTGGAGAAGTGTCGGTGCATGTCGTACAAGTTTTGGTGTCCGATTTGTGTCCGACACGGGTACATCACATTTTTAGTTTTTGGATGTTTGTGCTAAATAGCCCCAAATTAAACAAACAAAACTTATGCATCGAATTAAGCACATATCTACCAAAGAAATTCTCATGCTGTAGTATTAACTATTATTTTACGCATATTAAGTATAAAAGTGGAAGAACTTCAGGTATGATGGTTACTTACCAGGAAAAAGACATTGCTACTGTTGATTTCCAAACCCGAGTGCAGCCAGTGCTTTAGCTTGCTGCTGCTGCTGTATCTGGAGGAGTAAACTGGCAGCGAACTGCAGAGTAGAGTGGTAACGCTGATCCTTATCCGCATCACCCTCTAAGTTACCCTGCCCAGAACCAGGAATAAACGCCTGCAAGTGTTGCTGTGTTTGACCAGGGTGGTCCGCATTCATTACAGTTGGTTCTGCTGGCACCTGCAACACACTTCCATTAAAAGTTGAAGCAGGAGTAGCAGGCATAATTTGCTGATGGAGGGCCAAGCCGTAGATGCCAGCTACATCGGTAGCTTGACTGTTCTGGAGCACTTGATATTGACCAACCTGTGATGAAACTGTATCATTCCCTACAGTTCCAACAACACCAGGAACCTGTTGTATGTGTAAAGATGCATCTTGAATGGAGGGCATGCCAACCATGGAAGGTTGGAATGAGTTATCCAAACCATTTGTACTGTTTGTATAGTTTGAAAACTGAGAAACCAATGGTACTTGATTGGAATAGGGATGCCCAGGCCGTGGCAAATTCTGCATGGGATTGTACATCTGCTCTACGGAAGTACCAGAAAATGAGGTTCTTCCTTCATGGCCCCAAGCTTGCATTAACATTGAGTTATCATTGACTGGATGAGCAGAAAAAGCTGGTATCAGAGCAGAACTTGAGGGCATCTGAGAAGGCATGACAGCAGATGGATGAGGGTTTGTAGGGATCAGAGAGGCTAACGTTGCTATTAATTCAGGCGTTAGAGATACTTCGGGTTGAGATTTAGTTTCATGGCTCTTCAAGTGATTCTGTGCAACTGCAGGAATTGGATGTGGTTCTTCTGAATGCACCAACATTGGCCTTTCAGCCACTGCATGAGGTATTGATCTCTCATGTGAGCTATTGCCGTAGTCTACTTTCGAAGTTTGGTCCTGATTCTGAGGAATAAAACCATAACTTTTCTGTGATCCCATCCCTGGCTGAGTATCTATAGCATCAGTTGCAGGCATTATAGGTTGTAGTTGCTGCCCGGTTGCGGTTGTCTGCTGTGGCAGCTTAAGAACAACACCATATAAGCGTTCAGGACCAGAATATTCTAAAACCTTTGTCAAAAAATCTGATGGAGGCACTAAAAACATTGTAGTCCCATCATCAAACTTTGCCACTCCAGCTCGGTCTCTTTGACCGAGGTATCTTAGAAATTCTGTATAAGAAGCAAAATCTTCTTCGCTGTCAGGAAGGAAGAACACCATATCGAAACCAACTGCCTCTGAGTAATGTGTTGTAAGCATGTCTAATCCGGTCCTTGCTGAACAATTCACTATTTCAGGGCTGCCAAAGAGTTCAAAAATAAAAAAAAAAGAAATTAAGCATAGCAAAGCAAAGAATTACGAATTTATGAGAAATGAGAATTACAACGGAGCTTCTATGCCATTTCCTATAGGCAGACATCGTGCACGGCAAACAGGTGTGCCGCCCTTAGCAATAATACCACGCCAGCAGAAGTCGATTCCAGGAGATGCTCTTGAAGGATCATGACCTCGAATATCAGGAGTCTGCTGAAGATTACGAGTAAGCAAGTTTCTATCAGAATGAGGCAATCCAGAAAAGTCAGGCATATCATCAGCATCAACTATTCGTCCTGGAAAATGAGCATCACTTGAAGGGAAAAAGCCATCAAATCTTGATCTTTTAGGTTCCCTAACGTCCAAATCATCTCGTCCAGCTTGTGAGGGCATCAAAGGTGCGTGCACCACAAGCCCAGGAGTGATTACACTAGGTGCAGGGGGCGACAGCCTCTTCAAATTTGATGCCATTGGATTGTTAATGATGCTATCAGGAAACCCATGAATAACACCACCAAACTCGTGGAAATCAGAACCTCCAAGGTGAGGATCAAATCCTGGTGCAAAAGGCCTAATTGACATATGAGCCCGAGGAATAACATTTGGAGCTAAGTGTCCATGAAAACGGTTTGAGGCCATTGGATGAACTGGGCCAAATAATTCCACCGGGCTCATAGGTGGCTCATTCAAAAAAAACTCTGGTGCAGAAAGGGGGGCATTTTCTCCGCCTGGTATTAGCTCACTATTAGCAAACAGAATCTGTATCCTACTATCACCCAAAAGACGTCCTTGTAATCCCTCTTTAGCGCGACGCGCTTCATCAACACTTCTAAATTCTACATAGCAATAGTTTCTTGATGGAATGCTCTGGATTTTTTCAATTTCGCCAAATAAAATCATTGAATTGTGAAGCAACTCCTCATCAATCTGTAACTCTGGTGGGTAACCAACCCAAAGGACATTACTTGGTTGTTCATTCTTTCTCTTTCCTTGTGGCTGATACAGTTATTAAGAAAAAAAACTAAGTTTAATAATCAAAGAGGCAATAGAATCAGGAATGAGCTTGACTACTGTCACAAAGATACCAGATGTCTCCTTATTCCAAGGTGAGGGGAGGAGTCAAGCAAATGTTTCATCTCATCAGAAGGTAATAACTGATCGGTTAGTATAACATTCTTACTGCCCCTGTGATCACGCTCTGCATCCCAATCCTGGTAATGTTAAAAGTTTAATAGCAAGCAAATAAGGATATCATTAAATAAGCAATATTCCTAAGAACCAGAATCAGCTTTTGAAAGCAACACAGCCACATATTCCAATATGATGATTTATAATGTAATAATTCTATTGTGAATACAATGATGCAATTAAATGAGAAGAAAGCTGCATAAATGTGCAATCAAAATTGAAAAAGCAAATAAGCTAAACTTGCTACGAGCATAAGTACCCTTCTAAAAAGAGGTAACCTCTGAAAATCAACACGTATTTCACTGCCGCCAAGATGATTCCAGTTCATGCTTTTCTGGGCAGAAATAGCATCCTCAATCCTATGAAAACAAATAAATGCTGAACCCCGATGCCGAAGAAATTTGAACTCTTCAATCACTCCAAATTTTGCAAATGAATTTTCAAGTTGCGCCTTTGTGACAGATTGATTGACACCACCAACCCACAGGGTTTTCCCTGGTTTTGCCTGTAAATTACCCAAAAAAAAAAAAAATCAATCTACCACCAAATCTTCTAGGAAAGCTGACCCCACATTCATTAACAAGAAACAAGAAAGCACATCCAGTTCAATCTACCATAATCTAAGGAAACACAGTGGAAACACAGTGGTGAGTACCCCGCATATGCCTGATTCATTTGTATAGACACCCAAGAAAACACAATGAATTGAACATGATTTCTCACAACATGGCATTCAAAGTATATAGTCCACAAAACCTTTCATGTCAACGACAATTACTCTTATGCTATGCAGAGCTCAATTGAATAGTGCTACTTCACATGCACTTCCTATATTATGCATTTATGCAATTGAACTTTATAGGAATGTCTTACATTAAGGACCTGCATATTGTTAATATGTAATTTTGAATCTTTAAAATTCTAAAATAAAATGATTCCTTTCTTGATAGATTGAAAACATTTGGCAAGTTTTTTTTTATTTAACTTGGGTTTTAAACTAAAAAAAAAAAAAAAAAAAAAAAGGCCATTCCTATAATTCTACAATATATAAAGTTGCATTTCTTTCCTCTTCTTGAAGCTCCTTGAATCTTGCCACCTTTAAAATTGTTCTGAAACTCTACCATTCTAAACAACCAAATTTTCTTAATTGCTTATAGACTGATTTATATGCACACGATTTGATTTGCCTGGAACATTGGCCTGCGGCAAAACCATGTTGGCCCCAAAATATTTGAACCGAGAAATCACTACTCTTGCATAAACTGTTACAAAAAAGGTAGTTAGATGTACAGCCACTAATAATTAGCTTTAACTGAATATAAATTTGTTTATTTTACAGATACTTCTCTTATTTAAGGGCTAATTGGTTTGCTGAAAATAGGTGTGAAATAAAAATAAAGTGGGATTTAAAAAATTTAAATGTTCAGTTTGAATGAAAAAGGAATGCAAACTTTAGAATTATTTGGAATTCACTCATTAGTAAAATTTTTTTGTCAATGTTTTGAAATTCACCTAATTTTGGTCAAATTTCAAATATAATACAAGAATGAGGCTTCACCTACTGCCATCACTAGCTATGTGCCACCTCTAGTTGGCCATAGCAATTGTCATTGGCCAACCACCACCTCGACCATAATCGTCGAGCTTTACACTAAATTTAGTTTACTTCAAATCAAACACTAAAAAGTGATCACTTGCATTTTCTTTACTCTTTACCATAGACTCTAAAAAATTAAAATAAATTGCATTTATTTTATACTATATTGCTTTTCACTCTGCATTCCCGTTTCAGCAAAATAAATGAGCCCTTAATTGCTTGTAAAAACTATAGGTGATGTGAAAACCACAAAGAATAACTAAAGAGGGAAATAACATGATTCACCAAGGTGAGGGGAGAAAAAGAGAGATCGTACAGGGAAGAATAATTTTTTAATGTTAACACAATGCTTTCAAAAGAGATCCTAACCAACAATGGACGCCAAGATGAAGCATTTAAGAAGAAAAATCAAAATGTGTAAAAAAAGGGATGCCAGAAGTATTGCCTTGCATTATAATTTATAATCTTTCTCTTCTTCTTTTCTCAATTGCCCTTTACATCTTTAAAAGGATAAACTACAGCGCATGATCAACTTGTGCATCGACTGATCCAAGACATCAAAATGCCAACATCAACAAGGCTATCAATACAAACATTTATAAAGTTTATCAAAACTCAAACTCCCAAAAACATGTACAAGTATGTGTGATTGCAGTGTAAATTAATATCTACTTTTAAAAGAGCTAATATAACATCTTCTAACGATAACTTCATAGTTCGCAGCCTACATATCAAATTTACATGCATGTCCCCTAATAAGCTTCAATTGGAAGGCCAGTGGTTAGGTGAGAATTAAAATACTATTCATATAAATTTGTTTCATAGTTTCAACTATTATTGATTCTGTCTGCTTCAGAAATGATAGACATTATTTATTCATAAAACAAATCTCACTAGAAATAAGTTCCAAAGTAAAAGTCTGCTGACAAAATTAAGTAGTCAAGTCACAAATAAGTCTCACTAAGATGGTAGTAGTATAACAGTTATGTTGGAACCCATGTTAATCACTTCGGAACTTGCAGCAAAATTTACGTTTTAAGGCATATCAAAAGTTGATGAATGCAAAACAAATACAATTAAATGCAACTAATCTATTTGCACAGATAGATATGTTTCAGTCAAATTACCAAATACAAAATCTCAAGAAGAAGCAATGATTTCCTGTAGGAGCATGAATAATTCCTTTTTTTCCCCAAGTGTAAGCAAGTTGATGAAGGAAAAAACAAGCTTTTTCAAATCCAAGAAATTTTATAAAAGCTATGCCTCTAGAGGAAAAAAACATGCTCATATCAATTCCAGATAGGACATAACACTCGTCATTATGTCAACTCCAAATGATAGTCTTAGCTCAAATGAATTTTGAATTGAGAAGATAAAAAGACTAAGCACTTTTATTCCCACTATTAAGTTGCTACATGGCTATTCTCACAATTTCCAATATATGTGATAACATACCACCAGTTCAAAGAGTCAAATTTACTAAATATGACTTAAAAATAATAACAATGCAAAGAATTATATTTTCCTTCTTTTGACATCAACATATGTTAGAAGGGAATCCAAAACGTGGGTAAAATCATGCTACAACATGGAGACAGTATTAAAAGTCCATAAATAACTGGCAGAAATAGGTGGCGAATATCAAAATATTTGAAGAGATCATGACGAGCATGAATAGTGAAGGTTCAAAGAGAACTGATATTGAGGACATATACTGATGTCAAAAGAAGAAAAAGAAATCAAAGCAGCGTTACTATGCTATTAATAAATTAAACATGACTTTACTATCTTTTTCAGTAAATTTAAATATCTGCAGCAAACATTCTCCATCAATTATATTGTAAATCAGTGCTTCCATGACAAATATTAAGTAGTTTCTCCCAGAAAATATGTACCGTTTAGATCATTTGTCTCCAAAATGAAACATAATTCCTCTTTACTGAGCAAAAAGAACATGGGTAAAACAGACAAAGAAAATAAATCATGTAGGGTTTGACACCAACCGGTCGGGCAAACTGGATTCTGATTGGTCTTCCACGGATCACGATTCCCTGGAGTGCCTGTTTAGCGGCCTTGGCATCCTCGATGGTTCTGAAGTACACAAAGGCATAGGGCCGTGGGAAGTAGGACGTAACGGAGTCCATCGCACCAAACTTAGCGAACGCTGCCATCAGATCCTCGTCGACCGTCTCGGGAGAGAGATTCCCCAACCAAAGATTCAACCATGGCCCTCCCTCCTCCTCCTCCGCCTCCTTGAAAGCCATGCGCTTGTTACGGCCCCACGAGACGTACGGCACCTTGCCCACCGGAGGCATACGGGCAAAAGAAACTTCTGAAAACCGAATTATCCCGGGCTGAGGAAGTTCTGAATACCGAACCTCACGAAGGGATCAGGGATTTTTTCAGAGTCGGCGGATGGGATTAGCACTGAACCAGCAGAGCTAGGGTTTGGGAATGAAAAGATCCAAAGAAGAAAACCTTAGCAGGCAGAGGGGGTGGGTGAGTGATTCGCCCGGAACGGTCTGGATCATTTGAGAAAGTGAAACATTGCATTAGGTCCCACCCGATTTTGCGGACTTAACAAGGTATTCTTATCCTTTCAGGGCTCGGGTTTCTTGGAGCATGTACATGTATACCACTCATTTCCTTTATTTCCACATATCTAATTTTTTATATTCATACCCCTAATTTTTTTATATAACATAAAAATATCTATATTCTTAAGTTTATAAAAATAAAATAATATGTTCGTGCATATTAAGTGGGCATATATATGTAACAAATTGTAGCATCAATTTAGCATGTAAATGCATTGAATTTAAGTGGTGAATATGTCATTCCCCCTAATTTTTTGTATGCATTAAACCAAAAAAGAATAAATTTAAAATTTACTTAATAAATATTAAAATTACATTAATATTATTTAAGTTATGAATTAATATAAATTTTTCATAAAAATAAACAAAATTTATACGTAAATAATATCTACATAATTATAAAATCAAATATTAAAATAAAGTATATTAAACTAAAAATATATGTACTTAAAATATATTTAAAATATTAAAATTACATTAATATTATTTAAGTTATGCATTAATATAAATTTGTCATAAAAATAAACAAAATTTATACCTAAATATTATGTACAATTATTACAAATTCAAATATCAAAATAAAGTACATTAAACTATAGTTATAAGTATTTAAAATGTATTTATATGTATATTAAATATATTGTAAAATAAAAAACTATCTATGTGTGTGTGCTTATGAGATATAATTTATACTAATTGGTACGGCATGACGATATTTTATCATTTAGCATGAATCTCGAGATAATTTTTTTAGCAGTAAGCATTCTATATTCAAATTGAAGCATATTCAGAGGCACGATTTCAACAAGTTTATAGTTAAACTGATCGTCTCGATAAGACAAACTCAATAATGCCAATTTTTTTCTGATTCAATTCCAAGTGGATCTAGATCAAGTGATTAAATCACATTAAGTGGGCTTTGGAATGTTACTTGGATGGTCATATGAACTTTAAATTTGATATACTTATAATCAAATCGACCATATCGATAAGAGGAATACAACAAGTCAAAGCTCAATTAATTTTAAAGCTATTAAGGCCCTTAAAGCAATAAAAATCTCATCTAATCAAGGGAGATCAATAAGGATCGTTTATGCATTAACAAAAAAAAAATTAAATTTAAAACTCACTTGATAAATATTAAATTTACATTAGTATTATTTAAGTTATGTAATAATATAATTTTTTGATAAAAAAAACTAAATTTAATAGGTAAATAATATCTACAATAATTATATGTGTATTAAAAATATATTTATATACATATATATATAAATATATAGATATATATATATATATGTGTGTGTGTGTGTGTAACCCTTGGATAAAACAAATTGTAGCATCAATTTAGCATGCAAATGCATTGAATTTAAGTGGTGAATATGTCATTCCTCCTAATTTTTTTAGCATTAAAACAAAAAGGAATAAATTTAAAATTTACTTAATAAATATTAAAATTACATTAATATTATTTAAGTTATGAATTAATATAAATTTTTCATAAAAATAAACAAAATTTATACGTAAATAATATCTACATAATTATAAAATCAAATATTAAAATAAAGTATATTAAACTAAAAATATATGTACTTAAAATATATTTATATGCATATTAAATATATTGTAAGATAAAAAATTATATATATATACACACCCAAAATTGGCTATGTAATAAATACACACACACACACATACATAGATAAATATATATATCTGCATGCACATATATATGCATCTACATCTACATGTACATCTATATGGATATACATCTACATCAACATATACATCTACATCTATATATATATATATATATATATATATGTATATATATATATATATATATAGATGTATATATGTATACATATATACAGATGTATATATGTAACAGTGAAGGCCTTCAACCTCATTTCCTAATAACCAGAGCCTTCGGGTGCGGGTGCGGGTGTGCGTGTGCGTGTGCGTGTGCGTGTGCGTGTGCGTGTGTGTGTGTGTGTGTGTTGTGTGTGTGTATAGATTTGTAGATTTATATATATGTATAAATCTAATGTATAGATTCGTAGATGCATATATATGTATATGTATATATAGATAAGTAGATGTATATATCTCTAAGTATAGATGTGTAGATGTATATATCTTTATATGCATATGTATATACATGTATATATTCATGTATAAACATGCATATGCATGTATATACATGCATATCCATGTATATATGCATGTATATACATATATATACATCCATATACCTATGCATAAATACCTATACATACATTCATATGCCTATACATATACATATACATATACAAATGTATACACACACACACACACACACACACACACACACACACACACACACA